GAAACACACTCTTTTATACACGATAGCAACAATTATAGAAAATAATTATGTTAATTGATGTACTAAGATCTTTATATACGAGTCTAATTTAAACTTGGCATTTTAAAATGACATTTTGAGTGTAAACAAGAAATGGTGAGGCGAGGCAGCCAACAAAGAAGTATATCTTATTGGATATTCTGCCAAGTTTAAGATTGAGAAAAATTATTTATGTCATAGTATGATAATCAAAGGTGGCTATCAAATAGCTATTACTTTGTTGTTATTGGTCGTAGGTTTGATTACAAGTCTGATTGAATTTGACAATATAAAAATTATCGACATCATGGACAATTTATTGTTTTGTAAGCAGTATTAAGTACAATTGCTTTATAAAAATAGAATTATTTTTTACTTTTGCAAGATATTTTTTATAATTTTGACGCACTCTATTTCTGTATTTGTATCAAAAGATTAGACTATCCTACGCTTTCGTTGGATCAGAGTGTAAAATAGCATTTTATGCAATTCACCGAGACAATACGATAAGACCCGCATAATTCTACTGTCATTCGTTATTTCAAAGACAAATTTACATCGGACGCAAAGAGAAACACGAACGACCATTCGCGATGCTCTCGCGCTGCGCGTGCATATTGTTCGTAAACGGATTGACCCAAAGAAAACCTCTGAAATGACATAAATAACGGCGGCGTGTGGGCCGTGTATCGACTTACGTAACAATACGCGCCGCCGCGGCTATCGCGAACTTCCGCGAAAAAATCACGCAGGAAAATTAAGTACACGCAGCACACAGAGAGAAAACAATTGCGCCTGTAACACAAGTATTAAAAACCTGGAAATCGTCTGGGAACCGGAGAAAGTCGGGAAATGTCCTGGGCCTGCGTAATAATTCAATAGGATGTCAGTCACATAATTATCAATAAATTTTTTTGCTGCCAAAGTATTTACAGAAAAATATCATGTATGAATGACACAAGCGACATTGTGTGTATTCTAAAAATATCTCTTTCTAAAAGTAAGAAAAAAACAATAATAACTTTAGATGATTTGATAGGAATTTATTTCTTTCTGAATTATCAAAATTTGCGTTTACACACAAGTCTCTAAAAAAAGAGATCAATTTGGAAGTGGAGCATTTAGATTTTGTAACAGAAAGAAAAAATGTGAACAGTCATTCGATATAAATATCGACATCGACGACGAAACGGTTGCCACTGGCAGGGCGCCGAGTGCCGGAGAGATAAACATCATCAAAAACGTCGTATCGATTTCGATTTTGTATTAATAAATGGTAATAGACAACTATAAATACATGTTAACGAACGAGAAGTAGTCTTTTACAGCAAACCGTCAGATTGTTTCACGTTAAAATCGGGCTTTGCGATTTGTTTCTGTCAATTACTTCCAAACAATCGAATAATTTTCTAGTGGACACACACACACACACGCGCGCGCAGGTACGCGCACACGCTAAGAGGAAGTGTTCAAAGATAAATAGACATACTTGTTGTATATCGAGGGAATTTCAGTAATGGGCGAAATTTTTTCGAGGTCCGTAAATGATTACAAATATCAAGATCTCTCGACACTGAATTAGTATCAAGTGATGGCATTAAGGCACTGAAGTAGAATAGTAATAAAACTTATAACGCCGATAAACAGGGGCATTGATAAACAGACAGGTGTGGGAAACAATTTAAATGCGAGTAAACATTTGATGACGTACTTAGGATTGCGCGCCACTATACAGCTGCACTCCGTTCACTGCGAGCGTCCATAGATATGTACATCCACTTTGGGTTCTTAACTTTCGCTATTAAGCGATTTCGCTGAAACCGGTACTTGTGAGTAAAGTTTGTAAAGCGCGGCGAGGGAGAACCCGCCAGACTGCGGTGTTTATTGCGCGGAAAAAGAGCGGGAAGCCGCAGCGGCGTTTCGTGGCGTGCGCGCTCACATCTTCGCTGGATTAAAGCCGATTTCTATATTTGCGAAAGATAAACCACCTGCGCTCGCGCGAGTGATGCAAGATTTCTCTTTTTTTCTGGGGGGTTTTTTTTTTTTAAATACATTTAATCCGGCAACGTATCCCGCGATCGATGCGCAACGTGTTTTATGCCCGGCTTTTACGTGCTCGAGAACATCTGTATATCGGATGTAATCACGTAACGCGTAATTATTACAGGAAAGTGTGTTAGCTGCGGGCTTAGGCTCGGCAAAAAAATTATTTAACATTGTTCCGTTGTTTTCGCCCGCGCTTTTTTTTTGTAGTGCACGCGCAATCTTTTGATAATAATTTGTTAAACAGAAATTACGAATGATATTTCCATACGCTTAACATTATTATTATTTGCATTACTATAAATTATATAAATTGTCATTACATGCGTTATATGTGCATTCTATATTGCTGTATATTTACATAAAATTATTATTACAGATTTGTATTATAAATAGTAATTATGGACTTTGGAATTTATAAACACCGGGGGTATGTTATTTCAAACTCGTCGTAAATAAATTCATCTCACGGGGCTGATATGAAATATGAATAGAAAGCGTTAAGCTCGTAAACATATCAATCGATACTTCATGACAAGATTGTCGTTACATCTTTAATGAAAACGACTTGATGCAAGTTGGCAAATACAGTTTGCCGCTTAACGGGCCTCTAGCGCTTCCGGCGAAAAAAAGTTTCGAAGGTTCCGGTAACAACCGACGTTATAGCCGTAAAACGATGAAATCAATGCGTAACGACCGTGCCGACGCTATATTTAGCCGGCGAGAGTACAGGTAATTCCTATAACCGTCCCGGCGCATTGACAGGTGCAATTTATCTGAAGCCTGAATGCGCGCTGTGCGCGAGCCTCTGTTTTAAAACGCTCGAAAACTGATTATTCGCGCTTCGACATCGCTTCCCTCCAATTCGCGATACAGTAACTTCGCACAGACTGCAGCGTAATTGGCCGGACGATATAAAGCGGCGTCAAAGTATAAAGGAGATATCCGCTTGATCTCCCAGTTGTCGATTTTCCACCGTTCAGAGTACTCGGTCTTTGTATAATAAATGGATCGGTATAATTTTTCCGTTCAACTAAAAATCTCAGACGATAATTCCGCCAAGGGAGAATCGATGTTTTTTTTTCGAATTTGAACGCGGCTGCTGAAAGTTCCGTCGAAATTTCACAATCAATCAATTTACTCTCGATCGTTTGAAACAACGCGTAAATTGGCTCCGCCTCGATAAGAGAATTTCAATGAAGGGGCTGGAGCTCGGAATTTTCTTGAAATAATCGGAGTTTCGGTGCACCGTATATATGACGGAGGGTTCTGTCATGCACCGGCGTAATATCGCGGGAGCCAAACGAATCACGCGAGTATCGTACGGCGGTACATACACGCCATCGCGCATATATCCGCGGATATATCACGCGAATGTACGTTTACGCGAATAACGCTTCGGTATAATTATGTGTGTGCGTGTCGCTCGCCGGGCCGCGCACATGTTCGCGACACGTGCGTGCGCGCCGTTTCACGCATTAGGCAGCGGCAATAAATAAAGTCGAACGCGGGAGAAGGAATAATAAAAGATAAGCCCGTATCGGTCAGCTGATATCGGTCGTGCATCTCCGGATGTGTTTGGATACACACCGACGGCGAGTGCGTGCTTATGCATTCGCAAAAGTGTGTTGGTGCGTCGATACGTTGCGAAACAGCAACGTTCTTCGAATTATACACCGCGATTACGCGTCAAAGAATCGCATTATTCACGTCGCTCGCACGCACCTTTCGTCGAGTCATTAAATGTAAAATGTTTCGCGTGACGAATATTCCTTGCGGAAAATCCAAATGATCTTTCCACGACGAAAAGTGTCGAGGCACGAACGGTTTTCGTTGTGATCATGTTTAACTTAGGGCCGATGGTTTTACAAACGGTTAATTAACCGGAGGCTCTCTATCTCTTTTTATAATACGTTATTATCTAACAAGAGTCGGAAAATTAATTAACTCCCGCTAGCAATTAACTGATGTTTGTAAAACTGGCCCTTGGAGAATTTCTGTTTGAATAGGTAATGAAATTTGTAAACTAATAAATGATTGCACTCGCCAATATTTCTTAAAAAAAAAGTGCAATAACCAGTTTATTATAGTGGATAAATTATATTACAGCACAGAATAGGTTTTGAGAAAAGCACGTCAACCATAATTCTGTGGTTCATTGTATTTCCACGTTGCATTCACTTTCCTTTATTATGCGTTTGCATCGGCCGCTCAATTTCGATTGACTCTTCGCTCGTCATTGTCCCCCTACCTATCCTGTTTTTCCCCCGTATTTTATGTCCTCTATCATATAATTTGTACATATTTATTGTACTCGTCGAGCGTTAGTTCCTTTCTTAGTTTCCTTATTTAAAATCTCGCTTACAAACTCAGTTTTTCTACTAGAGTTTTTTAAAATTAATTTTAAGAAAAGCTCAACTATTTTATCGTAATTACCGAGCTATTTAGCTTCGGTAAAGTTTAAAAACTACGAAAAGACACAAGACATTTAACTTTGGCAGAGAAGAAATCGTTTCATTTTCCTGTGCGGAGTATCTCGTCGAATCGTGTAAACCATAGAAGTAGAAGTTATACACATGGAAGGGGAATAGCATATACTTTCCATAAGCTAAAACTGTGTCCAACATCTGTGTGACAAGGATAGAATATGATTTTCATTCGTTACGCGCATGCGTTAAATCGTGCACAAACGAAAATTGCAAATACAAATACAATTTCGCTTTGGCCACTCATGCGCATTTCAAGGAAGAGTCACGAAACGAGACAGAAAATAGTTTACTTTGCCTCACTTGTTGGACAAACGTGTGCGGGTCCTTTTTCCCTTCCATGGTGTAAACCAGCCGGAGAAATCGCGACGTCTGGGCCACGTGACGCGGTGCAATTGTTAGGAAAGATTTAGTGGCGACGAGCACCAGAAGATACAAGTCTTTGTTATATAGCAGGGTTGCGGGGTGCAGTTCAGACATGGGAAGTGAGCATTACTGCCTGAGGTGGAACAATCATCAGAGCAACTTGCTGGGTGTGTTCAGTCAACTGCTGGAGTCGGAGTCGCTGGTGGACGTGACACTGGCGTGCACGGAGGGACCGTCGATACGCGCACACAAGGTAGTCCTCTCCGCGTGCTCCAGCTACTTCCAGGCCCTGTTCCTCGACCACCCGAACCGTCACCCCATCGTTATCCTAAAGGACGTACGTTTCGCCGAGCTACGTACCCTCGTCGACTTCATGTACAAGGGCGAGGTAAACGTCGAGTACTGCCAGTTATCGGCCCTCCTCAAGACAGCGGAGAGCCTCAAGGTTAAGGGTCTAGCGGACATGACGAACATCAACGCGGCGGTAGCATCCAGGGAAGAACAGCAGCAGCAACAGCAGCAGCAACAACAACAGCAACAACAGCAGCAGCAGCAACAACACACAAGCACCTCTGACACATCGCGAGAGCATCATCGAGAACGAGAACGAGACCGAGACCGAGAACGAGAACGAGAACGAGAACGAGAACGAGAACGAGACCGAGAACGAGAACGAGATAGAGATCGAGATAGCATAAAAGAGACGAGCGGCAAGGAGAGAGAACGGGAGTCGAACGTCACCACAGGAGTATCGGTCGGTGCTAAGGAATGCGAGCAGCAGCAGCAACAGCAGCAGCAGCAACAACAATCCAGCAGCATCGTTCAGAACACCCCCAGCGAATCCGCGGATGCGGTGGACATGACGGATTGTCCGCCGTCGCCTGCGGGGCCTGGTAGCCCGTGCCCGGGACCGCTGGCTCTCGACCGACCCAGGAGGGACTCCGAGGACGCGGCCAGCCTCGAAGAGACGAGAGCCGGCTCTCTTAGTCCGATCTCGGTGCACAGCGGACCATCCGACATGAGCCTCAGCAACAACACCGGCGGCGGCGCGCCTGGCGTGCTGTCGTTAAACCTGCCGCAGAGCCGGCTTCCGTCCCCGCACAGTACCGAGCCCCTCGCCGGCCCGTCGGGCTTACCCCCGGTCCAGCAAGTTCCGCTAGTAAGTAGCAATGAGAATAATCTTTGAGGAGAAATTCCGAGGGGTAAACCGCTGACCAAAATCATGTACACCAATGCCTACTAATGTCCAGGGCTGGAAGTAACTCGTTACTTGTAACGAAGTTACAGTTACTTTTTTTTTATAACTCTAACTTAACTTTGTTACTTTCTTTCCATCTGTAACTATAACTTAACTCAGTTATATTTTTTTCGATAACTAGTAACTAGTTTAATAGTTATATTAATAGTTACTTCATATATTTTTTAAACCTCCACAGATTGCATTAGGTTTTGCATTACGTTAATGCATAAGCACCTTCATCGGCGCTTTACAATTTAAATGCAAATGTGATGTTTTTATTTTCATTGCAAGAAATTGACTGCAAAGTAACGACTCGTTACTTTTTAAATAACCGTAACTGTAACGTGTTACTTTTCAGAATTGTAATTGTAACTAGATACTTTTATAGAGTAACTTTCCCAACCCTGCTAATGTCCAGTGGGCATTACTTTATCTTGTTTTATCTTATTTCATCCATACATATAATGCCCCAAAAAATGCCCAGTAATGCCGCAAATCTGTACACCACAATGCCCTCAGCGGTTCACCCCTCGGGGAATTCCCTCCTGGTCCGGGCAAGTAGGATCCATTGAACCCATTGTCAGTTTTGACTGATGTAATATACTCGTCCTCGATATCTGGCAGGAAGAGAAATGATACGAATTGAGCTTAAAAAGTTTAGAGTGATCAAACAGATCGCGTTTGCACATATATTGAATGATTGTATAAAATTGAAATATTATATATTCGCGTAAAAATTGTAATATATTTGCAGATCTGTGTTGAATTCTGCTTGTCCAGATACATTAGAAGATAGATTGTTTAAATAAGGGGTATCGATAAAATGCCAATCAGTTATATTACGTCGATACTCGATATAATTAAACATAAAATTTTAATTGAGCAAAAAAGCTATTAAAAGTTACGTTGGACGTTGGGAAATGTGTTTTAAAAAATATTGATATATTAATATAGACATGAATTCGATAAAGCTTTATCCCGATGAGGATTTTCCTTTGCACTCGCGAAGCTTCAATTTTTTTAACGTACAAATACTGTTATTACAGAGACTTTTGTACTTGAATCAACTCGCTGATTCAATTTGTTTCCGCGATAACGAGATATCTCTATACACTTTGAATAATTTCTTGAGACATCGATGACCGCCGGTTGCAATTATTATGTAAAGAGAAAACAATAATGTTGATACTGTCTGTCGATAGCTCCGTATGACAACCGTATCTCGATCTCGATATCGCTTACTTATTGTATATTTATTACCTCGATATAAACCGGATGCACTTTTCCATTACAGTCCCTGAAAAAAGAAATGGACTGGGAAAGGTCGACTGAGGAGCGTAGCGCGAGCAGCGAGATATCCGCCGACTACAGACTCCCGCCAGATCCGGTAAGTTCTCCATTTTTCCGGCGAGCCATATATATATATATTGTACATACACACACATATATATATGTATATCTCTCTCCAGTTTATTATTGACTACTTTTTATTCTCGTATCCTCTCTTTGCTCTGCATTTCTATATACATATATATATATATACATATACTATATATTGATAAACGTCTCGCTCATTCGCAATCGTCGGCAGGAGCTGCGCGTTGCGGATGAGACGACTGTCCATTGCGCCAAGTCCCTTCGAGTTCTTGCAACTGTTCTTAATTGCAATGCCTTGTGCTACATCATTATTATGACCGAAACACGGCGGGTCGTTCGTGACGTGCTACCCGATATGACGACAGACGCGATTTTTCGAGTATCTTCGATATATAAAAGTACTGTGCTTCACCCCGGAAGTCCGACGGTGATCGCATACGCACGTACACGCGCGTACGCACGCGTGTATGTGTATGTGCGTCGAATTCACTTTGCATGTGGGTCTCTTGCATGCGCCCAAGTGCTTTGCTGTTTGCTGCTCTCCCTGCTAATTTGATAGAATTGTCGCGTTATCAACGAAATTGCCGTAGCCGTGCGGTGGTCTCGCGCGAGAATCGTGATCGATGAATCTCGCAGAAAGCAGGATTCTCTTTCGTTCTTGCGCTTTACGCGTAATAATTGTTAACTGCCGGCAGTAAAACTTGTAGTAACCCACTTCTTTACGATCGCATTCTTTCGACGTTTCGACACGAGATGCTTTCTAAGATTCTCCATCGATCGACTTGTCGATTGTTCTCGTTGACGTCATTTTAAAAGTTATCCTCCGTGTAACTTTTTCCCCGGTCAACTACGTAACTTTTAGCCGCAATTAGATTCGCGTAATATGAATGTTGCTTCTAATGGCGAACGAAGAAACGAGAGAGGAATAAAGAGAGAGATGAAACGATACAAAACAACCGCGGCGAAGGTTTTGACGTGATAAAATTTGAAGATTTCACAAAGAGGGAGCGTAAACGTTAGACTTGCAACAAGTGATTTGTTGAATACTTCTTTTATAAAGAATCGAAGGCACAAAGTTACTGGAATATTCATTAAATATATTCGTATGTTCATGTAGCTGCGAGGACGATTCTTTATGTACGTTTTCTAATTAGCAATATCGCTTAAAAGGATTTTCCCTCCTCGAGACTCTGATTTACGACGAGCCTTGTTGTTAAACCGTGTTTTTATTCGTGTATCATATTCGCTTAAGAGCGCCATCGAGATATGATGAATACGAGGAAACGAAATTGTGCATGCTCTCATCTACCGTGACGAATATACTGTCTTCTTTTCCAAACTAATCCACTGTCCATCACGTCCCTCGTCTTCTCTCTGCTTTCCGATACACAGATGCATACACGCATTCTCTGTCTTTCTCTCTGTCTTTCGTCTCGGAAGTCCAGTTTCTCGTCTTTATCTACTACTTTGTTATGGTTGTCCCGGTTTCTAAATGTGACTACAGAGACGTGAACTTTATTAGAGAAAAGCGAATTATACCCGATTTATCTCCTTAAATAGGACAATTTTCTGAAGTGACTCTCGAAACAGGCGTAAAACGCATTACAGCGAGGAAGGAGGGGTTTAGGTTATATAAAGAATTTCTATTTAATTGAAGAATAACGAAACACTTTCATCTTCACGACTCTGTGTCTCTCCTACTACCTCACAACCCTTTTCTACTCCTTTAGCATTCTTCTGCTTGCTACGCGTGCAGCTCGCGCCAAGAGTGTACCACTCAATCGTAAAAGCCCCTTCCGTCTGTGAATTCCATCCCCACGTGCTTTGAGGGGACCAAAAAGTGCGCTCAAAGACTGTCATGAGAGAGAGAG